GCGTTGGGTGTTTGCGCGGAGCAAGTAAGTTCCCTGGCAGGAACTGGTTCCCTTTGGGATTTTGGCTGGGGGATGGGCGAGGGAGATGGCGCTGGCGAGCGCCTTTGTTCCCCACCAAACTGAGCTCTGTTGTCCCCAGGGCTCAGCAACTCTCCCTCCCTTTGTCCTCCAGCCTTCCCACTTTCCAAGCAGAGCTGTTAACTTATGACTTCCCAGATGCTAAGTCATGCTTGCTGTCGGAACACACTCCGGCCCCTCCGCTTTTGCAAGCCAGACGGGGGGCTCTGCTTGGCCGGCAGGCCGCCCCTCCACCCCAGCTCCCTCCCGCCAGTCCATGCAGCACGCACCGCCTCTCTGTCTTTCCTACCCTCTTCCGTGGGCCTCTTGTCTGGGCTTGACTCCAGAGCCTCCGTTCTGCTAGTCTTCTGGCGGTTTTCTGGGTTATTTAGGCAGGTGTAGGTGGAATCTAAGTGATCAGCAGGACTCACGGTGAGCCCAGCGTCCTCCTACGCCGCCATCTTCTGCACCACATTTTCTGAAATACATTTTAAAGCCTACGATGTCAAGCATGTGTTCATTAGCTGTTGGGTGTTGATGTCGTCACATGCCCTGTAGCCTCTGATCTTGAGCACTCCACTGAAAGCGTGAGAGTGTAAAGGCAAATAACTGGCTTGGCTTTGTTGGAAACACTTTTGACCAGGAGGACCTTCAGAAAGGGTCTTGGGACCTCCCTGGGCCACACTGGTGAACAGCTGACCTAGTACGAGGGCATCATGACAAGCCAGCCCCCTTCTTATTAATATTGCTAGTCAAACAGGCTTCACCAGGTAAAGGGGTCTCTGCTTTTCAGCCTCACTTCATAGTGTAGTGGTTGCATACCTGTCTTCAAGATCCTGGGTTTTCTAGGCTTGATATACTTGGAGAGATCTCAATGAGTATGTTGGTGGCATCTCCCAAGGAGAAAAAGAAGAAAACTATACTGAAAGGCTACGATATCACAAAATCTCATTTAGTGCTTATGACAACCCTGAAAGGAGTTATTATCCCTATTTTATTGTTAACTGATGATTAACAGAGGATCATGATTTGGACCCACTGCAGGCACATAGCCTCTGCTCTGGCACCACATCTGGAAAGACCTTAAAAGCAGCCCAGGGTCCAGGCTGTGGCTCAGGCATTCTTGCTCTGAGTCTAGGTTTCCCCAATAGTAGAACAAAATATCAACTGCTTTCCAGGACCGTTCTGGGGATTAAGACCAAGTGTAAAAATGGTTGAGAAAAATAGGTAAAGACTAATGTCTCCTCATTTTAGAATAGTGCATTCTGTGAAGGGCACCTAGGTGGTAAATTTCACGCCCCCTAATGCATCTCTCCGTCTCCTAATGTACTTCTCTTTGCAGTTCATCTGCAGATTACTCCCTCTCTTGCACTGAGAACCTTGACCCCTGGATCACCAGCTTCCTCTCCACCATAGGACACCATCCTGGGTTGGGTCAACATCCACATGTGTGAAAACACCCAACGCTGTTTCCTCCATTCCTCCTCAGCCCATATCTCCATCTCCTGTTTTTGTCAGCTCCTACAGCTCCTGGTCATCTCCTTCTGAGATCATCAGGAAGAACTACATTTCCCTCCCTTTTATCACAAAGTAACTCTGGCCACCAAATCAAGAAATAGAACATTACCACCATGAAAGCCCCTACTTGCCCCTTATCCAGAAATGACCAGGGTATTGGCCTCAGACACCATAGATTTTGTAGATTCCTCTTGTTGGGTTAAGAAAGTTGCCTTCTGGTTCTACTTTCATCAGAAATGTATAAAGTTTTATCACATAGTTTTCTCTATGAGATGATCACAATGTTTTTTCTTCTTTATCAATGTGTGGATAACACGGGTAGATTTCTGAATGTTAAACTAACATTACAACTCCTGGAATGAATCCAACTTGGTTGTGATACACCATCCTTTTCACATATTGCTGGATTTGGTTCAGTAATATTTTTCAAATTTTGTGTCTATGTTCATGAGATGGGCTTATAATTTCCTTTCTTGTAATATCTTTGTCAAATTTTTGCATCAAGATTATGTTGGCCAAAGTAAGGACTTAGGATTTCATTCTGAGTGACACATGACTATTTGAGGCTCTTCTATGTGCTTATATGAAGATAAAGGAAAGAAAGCAGTTTATAAAACAGTGTATAAAATATGATCATTTTGCATACATTTGAAAGCTATATGTGTGTGATGAGTATGTGTGTTAGTCGTTTAGAAAGAAAACTTGTCAGTTGATGGTAACAAAATTGGTGAGGGAGACTTTCACGTTTCATTTTGCATTGTTTGAATTCTTTTCACCACATCGTGTGTTCCTTTTATTTTATTTTTTTTATTAAAAAACGTTTTTAATGTTTATTTTTCAGAGAGCAAGACAGAGCATGAGCAGGGAGGTTAAAGAGAAAGGGAGACACAGAATTCGAAGCAGACTCCAGACTCTGAGCTGTCAGCACAGAGCCCAATGTGGGGCTCAAATCCACAAACTGTGAGATCATGATCTGAGCCGAAGTCGGACGCTTAACCGACTGAGCCACCCAGGCACCCCATGTTCCTTTTCTTTTAAAAATAGAGAAAGTATCAAATGGGAAAAAAGGAAACACAGGCAGTTTTTCAGCCCTTAAAATCCTCTCCCAGCTGGAGATAGTGTGCAGTGGATTGGGTCTAGTTCAAGGACTGGCAGGCGGCTCTCCTCCTGTGGCTCAGGTCATTGTCTGTAAAGCAAGGATGGTATTGCCCACCTTAGGGCTGTGTGAAGATTTGATCAGTTCTTGTACTTGGTTCGTAGTTCTAAGTCAATAAGTGGGGCTTCTCCCCCAAGCAGCAAAGCTGTCAGTCCTGTGCAGACGTACTAAAGTGTAACAGAGTGGTGTGCTGTGGGGACAAACTGGGCTGCTAGGCAGAGAAGGTGATGCGGTCAGGGGTGGAGAGACGAGTCAGGAGGTGAGGGAAATGGGTGGGAGAAAAGAACTCAGGAAGGCAACTCGATGTAGGCTGTGACCCAATCCCCTGCTTCCTCACGGGTGCCTCGGTAAGAGCAAGAGCCACAATTGGCCAGGCTTGGCTCCCTGAGCTGCTAGAGGAGAGGTCTGAGACTAAACAAAGACAGAGAGAGACACCCAGCCTGAACCCAAGCGAAGGGTTCAGTTGTTGCCCACAGAGACAAGATGTACCTACGGGGATGCTTGAGAAAATTCTGTTCATGGTGTGTGTGTGTGTGTGTATGTGTGTGTGTGTGTGTGTGTGTGTGAGAGAGAGAGAGAGAGAGAGAGAGAGAG